ACTTTAGCCTGATAGCACTGAAAGCGAACGTCCCGCCCTCCCTGCAATAGCCGTCCAAAGCCACGCCCCCTGAACGCATTTACGCTCACAGACCAGAATACCAGAGACAACATTACTACAATAGGCTACATCAGCGGTTCCCAATTCCAGCCCATGTTCCGAAGTGAAGTAAACTTCAACGGATTTCCTCCGCTCAGGGAGAAGGGAGCAATGAACACTGTGTAGGGATCATATCGATCGGAACACAGTTCATGCACATAGCTCACTTCTAACGAGCTGGCGCGTGAAGACTGGATTAACTGCTGGGCTACATCATGTGTCATTCATCAGTGAGAAAACTTTAAAAGTACTACAATACCAGGAAGGAAGATCGGGTTGTTGATGTTTGTCTGCCATTCTCGCTCTGTCTGCACAGCGTGCGTGAATGCGCTGATGACGTATCCTGTCTGCGCGAACTGTGTGCGCAGAGGTATGCTAATACATACGTTGACAGGCAGGTAGGAATGCATATTAAAACGCTCGGACCGAGCTTAATGATTGCTATCAGGATGTGAAGAGACTTTCAACCAACATAACAAAAAATGTTTCTGAAGACAATCACCTGTCATTACATCTTTAAGAAACACAGCTCTCTATTTAAATCAAGATATTAGGATCACTGACTAGCAGAATCATTTGCCTCTTCCTTAAGCTTGTTAAAAGTACAATTATGTACCTTGTACAGAATTATGTACAGAAATGAGACCTCTGTCAATGAGGCATTTTTTTTATAGCGCTTTATTGTGTATTGCTGTACACCCAAAGCGCTTTACAATCATGTGGGGGGTCTCTCCTCAACCACCACCAGTGTGCAGCATCCACCTGGATGATGCGACGGCAGCCACAGTACAACGGCGCCAATGCGCTCACCACACATCAGCTACAGGTGGAGAGGAGAGAGAGTCATAGAGCCAATTCAATGAATGGGGATTATTAGGAGGCCATGATTGACAAGGGCCAGTGGAGTGAATTTGGCCAGGACACCAGGGTTACATCCCTGCTCTTTTACGAGAAGTGCCATGAGATTTTGAGAGTCAGGACCTCAGTTTAACGTCTCATCCAAAGGACGGTGCTTTTTGACCGTATAGTGTCCCCATCACTATACTGGGGCTTTAGGACCCACACAGACCACAGGGTGAGCACCCCCTGGTGGCCTTTCAGTGGGCAACCAGTCTTGGGCTGCAGGGTGATATGGCTGTGGCCATATCTAGCTATCTTTCTTTCTATTGATCATTACTAGCAAAGCTTAGCAACTATAGCCTAAGACATGCTAAATCATGGACGCTTTTCACAAGACTGATGACGCGTTTCCACAGTCATCAGCATCGTAAATCATCCAAAGTTTTTATATTTTCATTTAGAAAAAATGTATGTACATTTATAACACTACACTTTGTATTTTATTACCTTTACATAAAAAAAAAAAAAAAACTAGTTAACACTAGCGAGGGTGTTTCTAATACAGCATTTATGGGAGTGAGAGTAAATTTGTAAATTAAAGGTGACATATCATTAAAATCGGACTTTTCCAGGTTTTAAGTGCTATAATCAGGTCCCCGGTGCATCTACCAACCAAGGAAACCTGAAAAAGATTAACCCAGTCACTTTGTTTTGGTAAGCCTTTTTCTGCAAGCGTCTGAGAAAACGAGCACGAATTTCAGCGCGATAAACATGATAATCAGAACCAAAACAGATGTTTTTAGCAGATACAGCTGTAAAGGCGCAGCTCTATTCTGGAAAAGGGGGCGGGGAGCAGCAGCTCGTTTGCATTTAAAGACACAGGCCCGAAAAACAGCGTGTTTCTGCTTCCACTCAAAATAGGCATTTTCAAAATGATATAATAAATGATATGTTGAGTATTTTGAGCTGAAACTTAACAGACACATTCTGGAGGCACCAGAGACTTCTATTACATATTGTAAAAAGGGGCATAATATGTCTCCTTTAAAATCATTCATTCTTCTGACTGACTGTATCAGTCTCTATTTTTTTCCACCCAGAACACATTATCAACTGCACAGCAACCACTCCAAATACTCTAGCAACCACCCTGAGTACCTTGGTAACTGCATAGCAACAGCCTTTTGTTTACTGACTGAATGTGACTCTGTGTGTTTTATAGTGTGGATCATGGCGGAGAATCCAGGATTACAGCAGGACTAAAGAAATGTACGTCTACACGCACACACACACACACACACACACACACAAACACACAGCTTTAGTGATTGTTGTTGTGTTACAAATGTCTCTGTTCTTGTGTTCAGATGACTGTGATCTCACACTGGATCCAAACACAGCAAACACTCAACTCATTCTGTCTGAGGAGAACAGAATGGTGACATGTTTGGACAAGAAACAGCCGTATCCTGATCATCCAGACAGATTTAATGTTTATCCTCAGGTGTTGTGTAGAGAGAGTGTGTGTGGACGCTGTTACTGGGAGATTGAATGGAGTGGAGATGATGGTGTGTATTTATCAGTGTCATATAAGAGCACCAGCAGGAAGGGAGAGGGTGATGAGTGTTGGTTTGAATGTAATGATCATTCCTGGAGTTTGATCTGCTGTCCTGGGAGATACTCATTCACACACAATAAGATAGTGACTTGTCTCCCTGTAGAGCCTATCATCGGCAGTAGAATAGGAGTGTATGTGGATCACAGTGCAGGAACTCTGTCCTTCTACAGAGTCTCTGACACAGTAAGCCTCATTCACACAGTCCAGACCACATTCACTCAACCGCTCTATCCTGGGTTTAAGGTTTATTATAAATCATCAGTGAAGCTGTGTTGATTAATCAGAATAGATTGATGAGAGATTCTACCCATAATGCTTTGAGCTGCATAATAAATCGGTAGCAGTGAGATGTTATGGTCTCTTCTTTTCTCTTCATTACACAACCCTCTACATTGCGAGTAAATCACTCGCATATGCGACTAAATCTTCACTCTGGGCGACTAAATGATGTCTAATATTAGCCAATGGCTAATAAATTCTTAGATTTTACTCGCCAGTGTGTGAGTTGGAGGCTGAGTATAAGTTTAGCTTGTCTTCATGAATAAGGGATAACAGGGAACGTTTATGGGAATTCAAAGTTTATGGGATGATGTTGTGAACCAGTAATTTTCCATTGCTACTGACTGTGGTATAATAACTCTTGTTGGATTTGTGTTTGTCAGACGAAGTCTGAGCATTGAAACATACACAACTAAGATTATTCAGTAAACTCTGCTCCTTTTTTATCATCATTACTTCGTCTCCTGCTTCTGCTCTTCTCTGGTTTTGTGTCAGTCAACTTCTTGGCTAATAGAAGCTACAATAAGTTTTGGATACCAGACAAAACACTGGTTTTGGGTACCAGACAAGACTTGCTGTTAATGGGTTATGGGTATTCAACAACTCTGATGACAAGTTGTTCTGTTACCAGACAAAACTGATATTTTCTGACAGGATCTGGTGTCCGAGGCTGGATCTGATATTTCTGGCATGGAGGCATGATCTAATGGAATACATATAATACATACAAACATAAAGCCACACATAACACTTGAACATTTCACAACCATAAATGACCAGCCGCATATTGATTTGATGTTGGTGGGACACAGAATCTGATTGTTTGATACTATTGCAGGTGTTTGTAACTGCTGCTCTACTGACAGAAGACCGAGATGCTGTCAGGCTTTAATGGGTCAGATTGTATGAAGCTCTTCTTCATCTTCCTTCTTTTCTTCTTTATCTCCTACTTGTTCTTCTTCATCTCTCCTCATCTTAACCCGTCACATCCTCCTCAAGTCTATAGCTCCAGATGTCCTGTAAAATAATTAAGATCAATTCAAATGTGATGTTTATTTTAGGAAAACTGCAGAACTTTCTATAGAGTTCAGCAAGTGTAAATTATGTCTGTTCACTCATTCGTGAGCGTTTTGAATCACAACATAGACAGCAACTCATACAAATGACCCTTGACATTGAAGACTTACTATTGATTTCATTATAAAATCAGTGAAATAGTTCATTATTAGACATTATTATATTAATTATATAAATTACAATATAATTTTATCTTCTACTGATTCTTGAAAGAGATTGTTATACATTTTATTCCAATTATCAGGCGTTTTTAGACTAAAATTAACTTTAAATGTCAATATTATTAATATCAGAAGAAAAACACTGATTCTTGTATATATGTATGAACTTTGCTTTATGAATTTGTGCAATATTTTTAATGCATTATTACTATTTACATTTTCATTATTTAATGATTTGCTTTTTTTTTGCTGTGAATGTCTCTATTGTACTGTATTCTGTAGCTCTGCACTGTCCTGTATAAATCCATATGTCTAAGTTTTATGTTAAGTATTTAGCCTAGCTATGAGTAGGTTTATAGGTTGTATTTTATTTTTTTTAGTGTTTATAGGTTACATGCTAGATATGTAGATCTATATAGGTTATATGTTTAGATACCTTTTCATGTCTTATCTGTATATGCCCATGTTTGTTCATATATGTTTACATGTGTAGCACCATGGTCCTGTGAGGTACAACATTTTTCCTTTGTATGTCTCCACGTATGATGGACAAAGAATTACTTGAATTAATCAAATTTATTTCACTTGACTAATCTAATTTATGTCTGGTATAAATGCTTATTTACATTACATTTACATTTAGTCATTTAGCAGACGCTTTTATCCAAAGCGACTTACAAATGAGGACAATAAAAGCAGTAACTAACAAAAGAGCAACAATATATAAGTGCAAAAGACAAGTCTCGGTTAGCCTAACGCAGTACACGTAGCAAGGTGTATACACACATATACACACACACACACATATACACACAAACAAAGAAAAACAAGTAGATAGAATAGAAAAAATAGAAAGCTAGTTTTTGTTTTTTTAATAAAGAATAAAAAAGATAAATATAAAGTAGAATTAAAATAGAACAGAAAGTGTTAGAGTTAGAGGGTCAAATAAAGCTTATGCATCCAAACACATCCAGACATAACATTGGACAACGTGTATTTAAATATGTACCTGCATTTTTGCCAAGAATTCACCTCTGAATTCCTCTGCCGTATACATATTTCGTGAGTTTGGACAGAACTTTTATTTTGGTCTGGTGGTGTGACGTCATAAGACCGCGCCGCGCTCCTGCATCTGTTGTCGGCTGAAGAAAGGTTAGTGTTTTTAAAGAAGGTTAAATATGTTTAAATCGATAAAGACGTTCAGGGAATTTTTATGTGTAAAATAGCTTAATTATTATTGAATGTAACATTGTCATGCTTTAGCATTTATGAACGTTGTGTGTGTGAGAGAGAGAGAGAGAGAGAGAGTGTGTGTGTGTGTGTGTGTGTGTGTGTGTGTAAAGTAAAGTAAAGTATATCCGCGCATGAGTAACAGAAAAGTTGTGTCTCATTTCGCTCCCTGTGTCGTGAATCAGTTTATCATAAACATGAATTCAGTCACTGGCAAGGGATTACGAAAACAGATCTTTTCGAAACTTTTTCGAGTCAGTTGAATTAATTGCTTCGCAAAATGATTCTGTTTTGAATCGTTCGAATCAGCGCACGCGGACGACACCTGCTGCTTGAAAACGGTGTAAATGCAGCGAGAACAACGAACACAAACATAACAACGAACACAAACATAACAACAAACACAAACGTGAAATGGCAACTTTTACAAACTGACTGCAAATGTTTTCAATGAATATAGTGTAATCTGTTAAATGTGATGTACACACTATCAGCAAATACCAAATATAAATCTTAATACAAATATAACCTTATTTATAATTTGTGCCCTTTTATTCATTTGAGTGCTAGTTTTGGTTGTCTTTGTCTTATCAAGTGATGTAAGTCCATTAACTCTCACTCTGACTGACTCCCTTACTAGTGCGCTGACTACTGAACTAGGGAGCTGATTGAGACGCACCCAGAGAATTAGTTTGGATTTATTTGTCTTTCTGTTCATTTTTCCTCATCTTAAACAGGACAAAGTGTCCAAACACTGAAAAACTCCTGCTGAAGCAACTGAGATCCACGTGACACACTATTATAAAGATGGCGTTTATTAAAGAGGAGAGTGAAGACATGAAGATTGAAGAAGCATTCAGAGTCAAACATGAAGATACTGAGGAACAAACAGGTTAGTTTTCATTCTCAAAGCTGACATTATTATTATTAGCTGACATTAACAATATTTTCTGTAACATTAATATCTTAACATACAGTATCTGAATTAATTACCAGTAAATATTCATTGAATCAATCCATAAATAAGTCCATCCTCAGAAGTGCTCACGTTAAGCTAGGGTGACCATACGTGCCATTTTCCCAGGACGCGTCCTGGCCAGGATTTCTATATTGCCTAAAATTTCTAGGTTTTGGCTTTGTTTGCGTGTGCAGACCGATCGGTGTATGACATCAAAATACCTCGAGAGCATTCTGAAAGCATAAGGAACCGTCTGTATGGTATTTTGATGTCATACACCGATCGGTCTGCCCTCAGCGAGTTGTGTTTGGTTGCACGCTGTCCTCTATTTTCTCTGCGCTCGAGCAGCTATAACGGCAACAATGTCTCCTAAATAATCCCCGTGTTCTGTGTTTGGATATAAGACTGAGCATAACCGTCTTCATGTGCTCCCAACATCTGAGCCACTGAGGACGCAGTGGATTACTTTTATTTTTGAAGGTAATGCGCCTCAAAATGTTCCAAAATGCATTTATGTCTGTGCAAATAATTTGACCACAGACTGCTTTGTGAGCGAGGGGCAATACAAGGCAGACTTTGCTAAAAGGTTGTTAGTGAAGGATGGATCGGTACCAACTGTTCATGATCCAGCTTCACCTCCAGAAGAAGCAAGTGTCACACTGTACGAGAAGTAATATTTGAATATGACGCGACAGTATCCCTCACATAAATGTCATGTCGTTATTAGGGCTGTGTATCGGCAAGAATCTGGCGATACGATATGTATCAACGTATTGGGTTGCGATACATACTATAATCAAGGTGATATATTGGGATATATTTCTTACATTAGGAAAGCTGTCATTAAGAACACACCACTATATGCAAACCGTAGAAAAAAAACGTATTTAACCAGAACACAGTGGGATCTGCATTTGCATTCAACATTACTGAACCACTTTTTGTGCAGTACAAAATAAAGTGCTGGCAGGATTCTTAGTTAAATTAAATGTATAAGCTGTTATAAACAGACCATACATGTATATATATATTTTTAGACCCTGCTTTAAAGGTTCACAGTTTTTTTACAATTGTAACATACAATGTGAGGACATTTTGATCTGAACAAAATAATTACATCTGCTTAATATCAATGAAAAATAAAGTGCTTGCAGGATTCCTTAAGAAAACAAAACAAATGTAAGCAATAAAATAAATACAGATGTAACATTCCCAGAACTGTTTTAACTTGTATTTCACAGGTTGTTCGGTTTGTATTTGTTTTTCTTTATTTTTTTTAATGTCAAGGTTTTTCTGGAGGAAGATCAGCTGGTCAGCATGCTCAGATTTAAGGGTACTTCTATGTGCAGTTACAATGTCTCCTGCGGTTGAGAAAACTCTTTCCGCAGGAACACTTGTGCCTGGAATGCACAGGAAACCCTTTGCTAGTCTGGATAGCTCAGGGTACACATGTTCATATTCTTTCCACCAACTGAGTGGGTTTTCTTGGAGAGGCAAAGGTTTTTCTTCTCTAAAGCTCTTAATCTCAGCTGCAGCAGTTTCATGTGCAGATTTTGGTGGCATGTTGTTTTCAGAAGTGGCAAATACCATTCCAAGCAAGTCAGCCAATGCACATGATCTCCTTGGT